AAAAAAAAAAAAAAAAAAAAAAAAGCCTTTATTTTTCTGTGAGCAACAAACCAAACCGAGTTGGGGTCTCAGACAACTCGCTCATATGATTGCAAAGACAGACAGAAACTCCCTGATTGGAGAGGGCTCCTCTGAGGGCTCCCAGATTGGAGAGGGTGAAGGTCAGGCTAAGGGGATCCCACACCCCCCGGTGCACAAATGTCATGCACCAGGCCCTAGTTATTTTATAAGAAACAGAAACAGCAAGTTATTACATTGTCTGAGATGAACAGTTAATAGGTATCGTCAGTCATGTCCCGTGAGGTTCAGAACACTCAGATATTTCATCTATGATAGACTCAGAAAGCCTATTAAAAATTAAAAAAAAAACTTTTGACAAGTGGTGGTGGTGATAAAATAAACTTTTAACAAGGGAGCCACTTGGATCAAATGCTCAAATACGTATATGAGCCAGGCTGACCTGGCTCAGTGGTTGAGCGTCAACCTATGAACCAAGAGGTCATGGTTTGATTCCTGGTCAGGGCACATGCCTGGGTTGCAGGCTCGAATCCCCAGTGTGGGGCATGCAGGAGGCAGCCAAGCAATGATTCTCTTTCATCATTGATGTTTCTATCTCTCTCTTCCTCTTCCTTCTTCTCTGAAACCAATAAAAATATATTTAAAAAAATATGTACATGAACTTCAGACTATAGATTATAGAACTTCAGATTATGATCTCTCTAAGAATCTAATTAAATTATCTTCAAAAACTAGAGGCCCGGTGCATGAAATTCCTGCACAGGGCTGGGGGTGTGGGAGGGTCCCTCAGCCGGGCCTGCACCCTCTCGCAATCTGGGACCCCTCCGGGGATGTTTGACTGCCAGTTTAGGCCCGATCCCACAGGGTTCCCTGTGAGATCGGGCCTAAACTGGCAGTCGGACATCCCTCTCACAATCTGGGACCACTGGCTCTTAACTGTTCACCTGCCTTCCTGCCTAATCACCCCTAACCCCTCTGCCTACCTGCCTCATTGCCCCTAATCACTTTTCTGCCTGCCTAATCACCCCTAACCACTCTGCCTGCCTGCCTGATTGCCCCTAACCACTCGTCTGCCTGACTGATAGCCCCTAACTGCTCACCCACCTGCCTGATCGCCCCTAACCACCTCTGCCTTGGCCCCTGCCACTGTGGCTTCGTCTGGAAGGATGAACAGAATGATGTCAGGAAGGTCATTCAGCTGTCTGGTTTAATTAGCATATTATGTTTTTATTATTATAGTCTTTGTAAGGATGGGAGAAAGAAGAGGAAAGGGAAGAGAATATGAGAGGGAGAATTGTAGAGAGAAAAGGAAGTTAAATAACTTTTGGTAGGGAATGAATAATTGAATTTCTATTTAGGTTTAGTCATCTATTGCTACTAATCTATGACTTAATGTTAATGATAAAGGCAACCCTTGGAATGCTCAGAAATATGGTTTCTTGTTGGAACAACTTTTATACAATTATATATGTGTATATATTGGTATTGCAAATTGCACAGGATGTATGTGTACCAAAAAAATGTATTCACTCATTTGAAATTCTGATTTAACTGAGCATCCTGTAACTTTATCTGCTAGGTCTGTCGACGCTTCATGTGAGGGCCTGAGTGGTACTCACCCTATTCTTACTCTCCATTTCTGGCCACGTTCATTGATATTCACTCAAAGGTGCCACCCCAGCAGTTAGTTCTGTGCTGTTCCATGGGGACACCAAGTTCTGTGCCTGAGTGTGACCCTTGTTGCTTCTCAAACAGCAAACTCTCCTTTCCCACAATCAGTCACAGGTTTGTCTTTATCCGTAGACATCAGCTGAACTTGAACCTCAATGTGTGTTGTTAAAAGATCTTCTTTATCTGGTAGAGTGCCCCCTTTTCCAGGACCCTCAGAAACAAGTTCATGGTCTATGGTTATGCAGCTTCTCTTGGTTCCTCGCCTCTGACTCCTAGCCCCAGTGGTTTTGTTTCCTCCATGAGGTCCAACGCTGTTCAAGTCAGGCACACAGTGATCTCTGAGCCTGGCTCTCCGCTCCATCCACTATGCTCAGATACGTGCAAATAAGACTGGGCTCGGTGACTCCTCCACCCCTTCCAGCTCCCCCAGGGCCATTCTCATACCTTCCACATTCCTTTTGAAGACGCACTGCAGATATTAAGCTAACTCAGCGATTTTAAGAATTATACAAAGTTTAAAAAAAATTTAAAACAACTTTGCTTTATTAGGTTATGGTTGAACTGAAATGTTCGCCAGCTTAGGTGTTATGTAATAATTCCTTCTTGTGAGTTAAAATGTGGCTACAAAAGAAATGTGACTATATTAAGTGCATCTCATGGGTAGAAGAAGTATTGCCCTTTGTAATAGAATAAGAATTATCATAGATGTGGATATTATGTTGCTTGTGGGGTTATGCAGTCCTGGAGAACATTCAGGAACTTGTCTGCTCTGTGGGTCACCTGGCTTACCAGTGGGTCCAGTTGGACAAACGAATAGATTTGTGGATCTCTCCCTGGACCATCTTGAACAAACTCTTAGAGATGTCTGTCCTCTGAAAGGTTTGATGACATGATAGCAGAAAAATGCACAGTGGCAGTCGTGCCCAGGTAGTAAGTCATGCCCTCTCCCACTAGTTGAGACGAAGACGCATTTGCTGATCGCACTGCTTGAAGCAGAGCAGAGCGGTTTTATCCCAAGACCTCACCCAGCAAATCTAGTTTGCAGGTTTATGCTTCCACATGAACATCATTGACCTGCAATTGGAATTATTTTTTTAAATGATGCTAAGAAACAGGCACTCACCCTGATACAAGCCCTAACGTTGTGCTCTGTGTAACCAACAGTTGTCTCTGCTCACCTGAGACACATGGCCCCCAGTGTGCATCCAAATATGATGACTGTGAAGCGGGCTCCAAGGCACTCTGTGTCCACGGCATCTGTGAGGATCAAGTCCGCATACAGGCTGGACAGGTGGGTCCTTTCAGACCGTGACTCCTTGGAGGGAGTCAGGGTCCTTAGTCTGTCATCCTGCGTGACTGTGTACAGGCATGGCCCTGTGAGGCTGCAGAGGGGAAGCCACCTCCTGCCCTTAAGCAGGGCACAGGTGAGGAAGGGGATGAGAGGTGTCCATAAATAAGCAGATAACTCGGCCCAGAAGTTAAGATTTCATTATATAAATGACAAACATTTTTATTATTCCTTCATGAATCTTCCTGTGAGATATGACTTCCTTTTGGCCGTGTGAGTTCTAACAGTGACAAGACATGGAAACACAAAAGGCCCCGTCTTGCCAGCAACATGCAGTTTTTAAAAAATATATATATTTTTTATTAATTTCAGAGAGGAAGGGAGAGAGAGAGAGAGAGAGAGAAACATCAATGATGAGAATCATTGACCGGCTATCTCCTGCATGACCCCTACTGGGGATCGAGCCTGCAACCCTGGCATGTGCCCTTGACTGGAATCAAACCCGGGACCCTTCAGTCCTCAGGCCGACGCTCTATCCACTGAGCCAAACTGGCTAGGGCGCAACATGCAGTTTTCAGGAGGCTGGGTTTCTCTGGCCCCTGTGACTGCTGCAGACGCTGAGCCCACGTCCCTGCTGCCTTTGCTCTGGGTCCTGACAACCTTGGCTCCTGGCCCGCAGGGTTGCCCAGTGCCTGCCGCCTGGCCTTGCAGGAGACCTTCAGGTCTTTATTTTTAGTTCTGTTTTTTCCTACTTACGTGATGGAAAATGGTTCCCTTCCAAAGATGGTGGATGGGAAGGAAGGAGAGACTTGCAAAAGGGAAACAAACAGAATTGATTTTCCGAGGTCTGTGCCTACATGGGTGTTTTTCCCTCTAAAAACATAGCAGGCTGAGTTGATTGACTTTAATTATATTGACTTACAGTTCCTGATTGTTGTTGCTCTTTCCCTGGCATCTTTGGGGGCAAATTATAGGTTTCCCTTACTCTGAAATAAAGATGTTTCTCTTTATGCGTGGTCTGGTCTAAATGCTTAATCATTGGGAGGAAAAAGAGAAGCCACTCAATTACCTTATGGAAATGAACATTAGGGGATAAACAGTTGGGGGCTTGGTGAGATTTTCAAAGGTTTTCTTGCTCATTTTGATTTTCTTTATTCACGCTCCTGTCCTCCTGCCAGCCCAAGTACAGCTGCATCTGCGATGCTGGTTGGACGTCCCCACAGAATAGCTCGGCCTGCACACTGGACAGAGACGAGTGCAACCTCTGGCCTGCGCCTTGTTCAGAACATGTGCAGTGTTTCAACACTCCAGGCTCTTTCTATTGTGGGGCCTGTCCCACAGGTATGTGGGCGTGTCTATGCCAGCCAGAGGCACCATGCTGGGTTCTGCCTGCCAGCTAGGCATGGTACCCGAACCAATTTCCTTCTTCTGTCCAAGGATAAGAAGCCCATTCTTAGGAGGTGTTCCAATCCCATTTCATGTCTTATTTTACTAACTCCTACTCCCGACCATCTTCCTGCTGTGACAGTTGAACAACAGAAATGGGAGGTTTGTCCCAAGCTGTGCTCATGTCAAACATTGGGGGCAGGGTGAGCCATGGTTTGTGAGGTCAACCATTTTATATTGCCATCAACTAACTAGACTTGAGGCCAAAGGACATGTGCTCTAGTTCTGCCTTACCTACTAGCCAGATGTTTGTAAACTTGGGGAAATTATTAATGTCTTCTCTTGAGTCCAGTAGTTCTCATCTGGGTGTGGCATTAGAAGGTCCGATGGCCTTACTGTGAATAGGGATGTCCAGCTCCATCACGGACATACAGGGTCCAAATCTCCAGGGGAGGTCAAATGAGATCATTAGAAACGTGGACTCTGGACTCAGAGAGCGCCTGGGTTTGAGTCCAGCTTCATCCCTTATTATATGGGGTCATCATCATCCATATAATGATGATGTATGTCCACTTACTGTGAACAAAGCACTGTGCTGGGTGCACTGGGAAGAATGCACCAGATCTCAGAGAGTTTACGAGGCTGGCTGCACTCCATGGATGTTCTTAGAAAGTGGAGCACAAAGACAACATAATAATAGCAGCTATTCTTGTCGTGGAGGCACTGTGCTAGGCAATTTTTAATTCTTGCACCTACAACAAAAACAAGAAATGCCAGCAATGAGTATTATTCCCATTTTAAAATAGAAGGCCTTGAGGCTTAGAGCAGGCAAGTAACATACCCATGATCACACCGCTTATAAGCACCAGCTTCACACTGGGGCCTGCCTGGCTCTGGATCTGAGCTGTGCGCTGAAGACTGTTCTTCTGAGTCACCAAAGACCCACCCCCGATTGCCTTGTTTGGTGACTTTTGGTTTAGTGAATTCATTGCAAAAGGTTTGAGACATTCTTATAGTTTTGATCATTTGAATTCTGGGTAATAAAGCTCATAACAATTGACTAAAACAGAAACGTTTAAAGTAAAATAACATTCCTTTTCTGTCACCTCAGTCTTCTTCTAATGAGACAACTGTTACATTTTGTTCTTGCTCCTCTTCTACCTTTTCTTTTACTCTTACAAACACATAGATACATATGAAGATTAAAAAAATATTTCCCCACATTGGGATCACATTCTACATATTATCCTAAAATTTTGTATTTTCATTCATTCCTTTCTATATGTGTGTGCATGTTACTAAAAATAATTTGTAGAGAGACCAACCAAAGGACTTGTATGCATGCATATAAGCATAACCAATGGACACAAACCCCAGGGGGGGTGAGGGCATGAGCGGAGGAGGGGGACAAATGGGGGGGGGTAAGGACACATGTAATACCAGTACCTAATCAATAAAGAAAAAAATTAAAAAAATAGTTTGTAGAATTCAATGGGACAGATGAGTCCCTATGCCCCTATTGACCACAGAGAGTCTTTTTAAAAAAATATATATTTTATTGATTTTTTACAGAGAGGAAGGGAGAGGGATAGAGAGTCAGAAACATTGATCAGCTGCCTCCTGCACGTCCCCTACTGGGGATGTGCCGGCAACCAAGGTACATGCCCTTGACTGGAATCGAACCTGGGACCCTTTAGTTCGCAGGTCAACGCTCTATCCACTGAGCCAAACCGGTTAGGGTGACCACAGAGAGTCTTTTCCCCATTTAACGATGCTGCAATAGACATGTGCTTGCCTATTTCTTCCTTTATTCTTGCCTATTTCTCTATATACTGCCAGTTTTATCACTGTAGAATACATTTTAAGAAGTGGAATTGGTAGTCAAAAGGTATGTATTTTAAGAAATGCAACGAATACTGCTAGGTCTCTTTCCAAATAGGTTTTATTAATTTAACTTCTAACAGCATATAAGTGTAATCCTATTGCCCACCTCTTTGCTGAATTTGATTCTAAAAATTTAAAACAATTTTTGTCAACCTGATAGGTAGAGTATATCTCATTTAAATGTATAGTTCCTTATAGCTAAGCAGGTTTTTATATGTTTGTGACTATTTGTTTTTCTTCTTTGTTGACTCATCTGTAGAGCTAACTTTTCAAATCTTATTTTTCTAGGCTGGCAAGGAAATGGATATTATTGCCAAGATGTCAATGAATGTGAGACAAATAATGGCGGTTGTTCTGTGGCTCCACCTGTTGAGTGTGTGAATACACCTGGGTCTTTCCACTGTCAGGCTTGTCCACCAGGTACTACACTAATTTTCTGATTCCATTACAGGCAAACCATACTTTTAAAAATGGGATTTTTTCCTCCATTTTAAATATGACTTCTGTACAAGAAGGCAAACTGAACAGTCTGGAAAGTTTTACTTAACTTACAGATTCAGGGCACATTAGTACTAGCTGTATTATAAGAAAGAAGGAAAAAAGTTTTGAATATCAAAGGACAATAAGCCTTTATTAAAAACTGAAATAGCTTACTGAGGTAATACAGAATTTGAAAAAATGTCTCCGTGAATCCCAGACATATAGCTCCATTGTTCCCACAAATAATTTATTTCTATAATGTACACATGAGGTGTTTTACATATAAAGTTTACTAAATAACCGGCCTGAAGGTAGGTATGTAATACATGTTAGTTTTCTTTCTCTTCCAGAAAGGAGTCATTACTGCTCTTCTCTAATCTGAATTGAGTTACTATCCAGGAAGTTCAACGAGTTCTAAGGGATTAACTGCAACACTTTGTTTCATTAACACAAAACAACAGTACTTTGGACTTCTATAATAATTTAGCTCTAAGATCATCAAGTCATTGAAATGAAAAAGTGTCAGCATTTTTAGTGTCAGCACTCACTGTATCAGTAGTTTCATATACCTTTTTATTTTTTTTATTTTGTAATTAGAAACAGCCACAAACATTGTTTATGAAATAAGGTTCCTAATTCTTGTCCTTTTTCTTAATTATGGAATTTTGTTTATGACACTTTACATTTTCTGTTTGATGATAGAGGATCTCTGGTTGGTCTGTCCATGATATTTGATTCTCAGATTGGGAATCTTCTTCTTGAATAGTCTTAACGTTGTTTGTCGTGCCCCTGCTCTTGCTGTGGTCAGGGTACCAGGGCGATGGAAGAGTGTGCACACTCATAGACGTCTGCTCGGTCAATAACGGAGGCTGCCACCCACAGGCGTCATGCTCCCCAGGCCCAGGTAATGACGCACTCTCCCTCTGCTTTGGGGTATTTTAATATAATGTTATAAAACAAATCAACTTTTTAAAATAAAATTTTTTTGATCTTCAAACAAAAAAATTAATCCATGTCACAAAACTGTACATTGGGATTTTTAAAAATGCAATAGACTGTGTTCTTTTATGATCGGTTCTAATTTAGCAATAATTTTTCAAGATAATTAACTCAGCTACTTAACTCATAATTGTATTTCAGCAAGCAGGAAGGAGAAAAGGAGGAAGGAGGACAAGTCTACTTTTTTTAAGGATATTTTTACTTCTATGCTGTTGGCCAGGGCTGGGCCTGGTGGCTAACCCTGGCCGCAAGGGAGGCTGAGATATGTAGTTTTTATTTCAGGTGCCCATACCCTCAATTAAAATAAAAAGTAAGGAAGGGAAAAATGGAGCTAGGGAAAATACCAATAGAGTCTGCAATGTTGTTTAAAAGAAACTTCAGCTCCTATAATTTTTGAAATATATATTGCTAAACTTTCAGAAATGTTGAATCAATTTATATACTCACCAACAGTGTATGAAAATATACATTTACCCCACTCTTAGCAACAATGAATACTATTGTTATTTTTCATTTTAGTTAATTTTATAGCCAAATTTTGCCTTCCAGTTATTTCAATTTTGACTAAACAAAAATTAAGGTTTTAATTACTAACAATTAATAATTAATGCTTTTCACATAGTACTGGCCATTGTTTCTATTTGTCCATGTCCTTTGTTCATCACTTTCTTATTGATTTGTAAAATTTCATTGTATATTAAGGATATTACCTCGTTGTCTGTCTCATATTTTACATGTATTTTTCTTTTTTTTTTAAATATATTTTATTGATTTTTTACAGAGAGGAAGGGAGAGAGATAGAGAGTTAGAAACATCGATGAGAGAGAAACATCGATCAGCTGCCTCCTGCACATCTCCTACTGGGGATGTGCCCGCAACCCAGGTACATGCCCTTGACTGGAATCAAACCTGGGACCTTTCAGTCCATAGGCCGACACTCTATCCACTGAGCCCAACCGGTTTCAGCGACATGTATTTTTCTTGGCATATTGTTTTTATTTTTTCATTTTGTGATGGAATTTTCTATTTAGAAGTTTAAAAGTTTTATGTAGTCAAAATGGTAAAAATCTTTTCTTTTAAAATTCTCCCCCTTAGAATTTGTCCTTTCCTACCAAACAAACCTTTTAAAATATTCAAGTACATGTTCTTTTATATTTTTATTTATTTAAACATTAAGATCTTTGATCTTTTTAGGATTTATTCTTATCTATAGCATCAAATAGAGATCTACCTTGATATTTTTGTTCAAATGGGTGGCTGGCCCCAACTCCATCTATTGAATAATTTTATCATATCTTTTGCTATTTCAAAATACCACTTTTATTTTTACTAACATGTCATATATATGCACATATATCAAAGAATATGTATGTAATATATATACTTGCTTGTGATTATTAAAGTGTTTATTGATTAACAGCATATTAAAGTGGTTAAGAGCATGAGTTCTAGAAAAAGACTACTGGGATTTTGATTTTCCCTTGACTCCACCATATTCTAGCTTTGTCTTCATCTATAAGTGGGATAATAATAATACCCACTTGAGAGGATTAAGTGAGTCAATATATGTACAATGCGTGCAATAGATATGATCATCATAAGATTACTCGTTTCTGCTGTCAACCCCTCCATGATGAGAAATTCCCCTTTTCCTTAGCGTAACTCACCCTTGGGCAAGAACAAGACATATAGGTCAGTGTCATTGTATATAAAGTATTGAAGACATGTAATGCCTTCCTTATTTTTAAGGTAAAAATAGAAAAATAAAGATTCCAGTGTATTCTCCTTACACCTTGTCTTGCCTGCCCCTAGAGATCTTCATGCTTGAGTTGGATGATTTCTTGTCTAGACAACAGAGCCTGAGTTTTGTTACTGGGTCTGAGTTGAACAGACCTGTATTTACACTTTCACTTTTATTTCTGAACAGGTTCCTTACCTTTCTGTACTTGTCTCCCGGGATATACTGGAAATGGTTTTGGCCCAAATGGATGTGTGCAACTCAGTAATATGTGCCTGAGTCGCCCGTGTTTAAATGGACAATGCATCGTGAGTTCTTTATTCCTGAGAAGATTGTACTTGAGAATAATTTTAGTTTCATATCTATGCAACATGTTTTCTATGATTTATTACTTTTAAGGTAATGATAAAACTTAAGATAAGGAACTGTCAATAACTCTGAGATGAAAGGTAACTATTAATTTTAGTTCCCAGGAAAAACCCATGAGTTAATTAGTGATTTACAAAGAAGTAAAACAATGCCTACAGTTTGATCCCGGTAGATATAACTTATACTTAGCAATCACCATTTAAATGAATGAATGCAAGTTAGACCACTGGAAGCTGCTTGTGACTCAACACCTGCTGCATACATCATGTTTCACTTTATTATTTGGGTTGATTTGAGCTTATTGTCTATCCATTTGTTCTATGGCATTATGTTGTTTCTTTCCTTAGGACACAGTGTCTGGTTATCTTTGTAAGTGTGAATCGGGTTGGGCTGGTATCAACTGCACAGAAAACATCAATGAGTGTCTGAGCAACCCCTGTTTGAATGGGGGAACCTGTGTTGATGGCATTAATGCCTTCAGTTGTGAATGCACACGTTTCTGGACTGGATTTCTCTGCCAAATTCCCCAGCAAGGTATGCTCAGCATTTCTTATACCACAGATGCTCACAGCTTAAATTTATCATCGTTTAATGAGTCCTACTGCAGGTTCTTGTCTAATTGCTCCAATGCTTAGAACTAAGTGTTTCCTTGCAGAAATTGTATAGAATTGACAAGGTGAATTTATATCTCAATAAGCCAGAAGTGCCTTTTCCTCAAAGGAAAATTTTTCTCTTTGCATTATGTCCATTCTGAAAACAAAATATGTTCAGGTATTATAGTTTTCTAATAGTGGGTTTTCCCTAAAGCAGTTATTTAATTTCCCTAGAATATTCTATTTAATCATGTCACTTTTCTGCTCTAGAATATACTGGGTTCCCCATTGCCTGTTAAATAAATATTGGGACTGCTTTTCAATTCTCCTCTATAACCAGGCCTCTTCCTATACCTCTCCTTTTCATTAGTTCTCTAAAAGGACTCCTTTCAAGACAGACATCTTTCCTTACCTGACCTCATGCGCTGCCATGAATATTTCTGCCTTGTTTCTTTATTCTAGATAGTTCTCCCTCAAATCTTTCCAAATTCTTTCTTTGCTTCCCATCGTAATGTATGTCATATTCAACCTCCACCAGAAAACCTCTTATAACGTCTCCACCCCTCCCTTATTACTCCTTATTCTGAATCAGCATGTCTACCAAGGCTTTTCTGTGTGTTCAGGATGTGGTAGACCCCATGAAGAAATAAAAAAGCATAAAATACTCTCTCCACATGTAATCTGCTTATCTTCCAGTTGAGGAGACAAGACTAATACAAAATTGGCAGAGAATAAACAAGAACTAAAGATAAGAACTAAATTGTGTGGGGTCAAGTCAAATGTCACAAAGGTAGAACGGGAGGCAGTGAGCATACAAAGGACAGGGAAATTCATGGTGGAGATGAGGAGACGTGAACTAGACTTTCAACAAGAAGTGAGATTTGGGTGGATGCCCAAGGAAAAGGGGACAGGGGAGAAGAATGGCAGGACTTTTGTCTCTAATGTTAATAACTCAGACTTTCCTGAATGTCTCATCAGCAGGGTTAGAGTTGCCTAGCCTCTTCCTCTATGGAGTCTCTGAAAAGCACAGTTCACCTTCTTTTCCTTTGCAGTCTGTGGAGGGTCCCTCTCAGGGGTGAACGGGAGCTTCAGCTATAAGAGCCCTGATGTTGGCTATGTTCATGACGTTAACTGCTTCTGGGTTGTCCGAACCGAAGAGAGAAAGGTAACTGTAGTGTCTCCTGTCTAATGTAGATTTCATTTATATATAGGCATATGTATTACATAAAATACATATAGTGATAATTTAGCAATCATATATTAAGGATTTACTAAATGTCAGGCTTTGGGCTAGGCCAGTGGTCGGCAAACTGCGGCTTGCGAGCCACATACGGCTCTTTGGCCCCTTGAGTGTGGCTCTTCCACAAAATACCGACTTCTGCGCATGGGCCACGAAGTTTCAATCGCACTGTACGTGTGCGCCCACCATGGATGATGCTCTATGGATGATGCTCTATATGGGTTGGCTGACAGCAAGTCAGTGATTTGTAAAGGCATGTCCTTACTGATACAGTCATGTTTGAAGGTCATCACTCAATAATGTTGATTATATACAAAAATGGGAACTTCCTTTAAGATTATTTTCTTGCCTGACCAATATGGCCCAGTGGTTGAGCATCAACCTATGAACCAGGAGTCACAGTTCCATTCCTGGTCAGGGCACATGCCTGGGCTACAGGCTTGATCCCCAGTGAGGGACATGGATGAGGCAGCTGATCGATGATTCTCTCTCATCATGGATGTTTCTCTCTCTCTCTTCCTCTCCCTTCCTCTCTGAAATAGATAAAAAATACATATATTATTTAAAAAGATGATTTTCTTATTAGTGTCTTCTCTGGGCCACTGCATGTGCCAGTGTTCAATGCTAATTGTTCCACAGATTATATCATTAACTCTCATAACCCAAACGAATTACATATATATCCTCATTTTACATATAAGGAAATGGAGCCTAGAACAGCTGAGAAATTCGTCCAGGGGCGTGTGGTTTTAAATGGCATGCAGTCACTTGAACCCAGGCCATTCAACATCAATAACTCTGAACCCGAACCGCTGCAAAAATAATCTTCAAATTAAAATCTGAGCCTGAGGTTTTTAGTGCTTTTGTCTCCAGTATTTATTATTCAACTTTTCCAAATACTTATTTTTCAACCAGGTTGTAGGCTCACTGAAATAAAGTTATACTTCTGAATAGAGAATGTTTCCCTTAAATCCCATTAACTTTTCAGCAATATTATAGAGGTCATTGTATAAGGTCAGAAAACATTTTCCACCCCCCCGTAAAAGAGGACCTGTTAACTCATAATAGAATAAACTCCAAAATCAATTTTTCAGTGAATATTTGATATGAATTTCCTTCTTTCCATTTAGTTTTCATGAATTATACTTCGTGACATTGAAAACAAATTTTTTTCAAAAAAATTATTTTGTGAAAAATTTTGACATTTTTATTTTCAATCTGTAAGAAAATTTATGCTGTTTTCTTGATGATTGTGATTCTATATCTTTTTATCCCCAACATAATTTACATAAAGGAGTAGAAAATTATGTACAAATCATGGACATTTATTTCATTTTTATTGACATTGCTTCAAGGGAAAACATGATGTAATGTTAGGTAACAGATCTTAAAAATATCCTAGTATAGAATTTCAAAAATATCTTGATTTCCTTTTTCACTAGTTGAATACTGTTGTGGTTTTAGATTATAAAAGAAATTAAATTCAACAGCCTTCTTTTGGTTGTTTGACTGTTTTAAGTGAGGTTGTCAATAAAAAATATTTTATATATAATAAAAGGCAAATATGCAAATCGACTGAATGGTAGAATGATTGGTTGCTGTGACACACACTGACCACCATTGGACAGATGCTCAATGCAGGAGCTGCCCCCTGGTGGTCAGTGTGCTCCCACAGGGGGAGTGCCACTCAGCTAGAAGCAGGGCTCATGGCTGGCGAGCACAGCGGCAGTGGCAGGAACCTCTCCCGCCTCCATGGCAGCGCTAAGGATGTCTGGCTGATGGCTCAGAGCAGAGTGGGCCTAAGCCATCAGTTGGACATCCCTCAAGGGCTCCTGGACTGTGAGAGGGCGCAGGCCAGACTGAGGGGACACCCCCCCCGAGTGCACAAATTTTGTGCACCAGGCCTCTAGTTTTAAATATAATTAACTATATTACTATGCTTTTCTGTATATTCCAACATCTTAACTTGGAGACACACTTTGTGTTTATTCTCTCCTACTTGTATGTGCAGAACTCTTCATATTCCCTTTGCCCATTCTCTGCTCTTATTACTCAGCTCTTATGATGTGCAACCATGAAGACTTGCAGACTTTATACTTGCCGATACCATACCTACTCAGTCTACACCTGAGGTTCTCAGTGTGGGTTGGGCATCAGTATCTGGTTGAAAGTTTCAGAAATTCCTAAGAACATCTGTGAGTGAGCTACAGGCTATTCAGGGGATCAAGATATAAATTCTTGTGAATAGTAATATTAATCAGTTAAATTTAATTTAAGGTAGATTTTTCAAATGTCTAATGTATTTTACTAATGTGGAAGCATTTGTTTAATTGACCTAACAGTTTAATGAAACCTAGGTAAATATATTTCATTAATCCATTGAATAACAACTCAAGGAATATAAAGTTTTAGTTATGCTAGATAAATATGTTCTAGAGATATGCTGTACAGCATAGTGCCTATAGCTAACAATACAGTATTTTGCAGTTCAAAATTTTTTAATAGAATAGATTATGTTTTTACCATAAAAATTTTTGTGAGAGAGATAGAGATAGATAGAGAGAGAGATAGATAGATAGAGAGAGAGAGAGAGAGAAAGCTTTGGGAGGTGTTGGATATGTCTATTGATTGTTGTGATGATATCGCAGGTGTTTGTATATGTCCAAACTCATGAAATTTTACATTAAATATGTGTAGTTCTTTGTGTATCACTGATACCTCAATAAAGCTGTGAAATGTATGTAATTAACATTAAGATTTCGGCATAGTTGTTTATATACGTGAGGGGGGAAAAAGATGGAATTTTACCTCACACCAAAAAAAAAAAGATTTTTGATATATGTTGATATTAGTTGAAGTGTAAGCAATTTTTAACACAAGTCATTTAACAAATAGATTTTTCATATGTATTTGTGGATAATTGGGACATTTTTGATATGTCTCTTAAAAGTGACTCACTGTAAATGCTTCCTAATTAGTGGGAGACAGACTCTAGACTTAACATGAGTATGAAGAATAATATCTTGTGACCTTTTTATTTTTAGGTGCTGCGTATCACTTTCACTTTTTTCCAATTAGAATCAGTGAGCAACTGTCCACATGAGTTTCTTCAGATTCACGATGGAGATTCCTCTGCAGCATTTCAGCTTGGAAGGTTCTGTGGCTCCAGCACCCCACATGAACTCCTCAGCAGTGACAATGCTCTCTACTTTCATTTCTATTCTGAACATTTAAGAAATGAGAGAGGCTTTACAATAAGATGGGAAACACAACAACCAGGTAAGTGTAAATATGGAACACAATAAAGCCAAGTCTTGAGGTTATTAATTTTTTAATCAATATTAATCTTCTTTGATACATTGAATATTTGGAGACCCGGTATTATATAATACTAGAGGCCCGGTGCACGAATGCACCCTCTGGCAATCCGAGGGGGATGTTGGAGTGCCGGTTTTGGCCTGATCTCCGCAGGCCAGGCCCAGGACCCCACCAGTGCACGAATCCATGTACTGGGCCTCTAGTATGCATATAAGATCTTTGATTAATCTCTTCCTGCTTTCCCCCTCCCCCTTCCCTCTGAGATTCATCAGTCTGTTCCATGTTTCCATGCCTGTGCATTGAGCGTCTGTCCCCTGACTGTCATTGTGTGTCATAGCTACCAGTTGAATGGTCACTTAGGCATATATATATATAAATTATTTTTATATCAAATAAATCTACATGAATTTGTATTTGATTTTGTTTTCAGAAATAATAAAATGTGGATGAAATGGAAGAGTTTAAAAAACATTAGTCTTAATGAGTCCCTTCTGAAATTACTGAATAGAATTTTTATAAGCTCAACTAGTAAATTAATGCAGGGATGTTAGTGAGGACACTGACCTCTCCTTCACTGAGTATTCCTTGTCTTAATGACTATTTGATCATTTGTTTTTGTTGTATTTTTGTTTTGGTGGTTTATTTAAAAAATTTACTATGCGATTTTTTAAACATAAAAAATAGAAAAAACATTATACCAAAACTCCAATTCATTTACCAATAAATCTGTGGAACTATTTCTGGAATTTCTCATTTTCTATTGTTCTGTTTATCTATCTTTGTGCCGCATTGGCTGAGTTACTGAAGCTTGAAGTCCGGTTGTGTAAATCCTCTAAGTTTGTTCTTTTAAAATATGCTAGATTCTTTAAATTTCCATATAAATGTTAGCATCAATTTCCCCCAACAGTCTGTTGGGATTTCATTGGCATTGCATGGAATCTATAATCATTTGGGAAAGTAATGACTTCTTAAAAATTCAGATCCTATCAATTCATGAATGCAGACTCTATATTTGTTTAGTTTCTTTTAATTTGTCTTAGTAGTGGTTTATGATTTCAGTGTTTACTTATTTCACATCTTTTCTTATTTCTTCCTAAATATTTGATATTTTATTATGTTAAATGACATTATTTTTCTAAGATTTCATTTTCCATTTGTTAGTATATTTGTATTTTCCTTATTATGAATGAGGTTGAATGTCTTTTCATATATATTTTAAAGGGTATTTGAATTTTTTCAGTGAGCTCTGTTTATATCACAATTTTTAGAGCTCTTCAGATATTAGGAATATTAATTCTTTATATTACATATTGCATTTTCCCAGTTTGCCATTAACATTTCACTCTGCTTAGGATTTTTTTTTTTTTACCCATATGATAATGTTTTAAGTACTTAGTTTTGAAAAAGTCTCTTCCTTTGAGCAACTGTGATGTTTTCTCATTAGAAACAATGAAAATCATGCAACTTATTTGTTTCTCTTTTTGCCGCGGAAGCAAATTTTTTGTCTGAATAACCTGCATAACTATGTAAATCTCATATCTTGCATATCTGAAATGTCATCTTTTGTTTTTTCTAATTTGTATTTAAAAGTCGAGATTTTTATTTAGTGTTTTGTTTTTTTTTTTGTTTTTTATTTCACAGTAGCACTTTCCATAAGCCACCATAGGTTTTCTGTTAAATAAATGTGGGTATTAATAAAGAAAAGATTCTTCCCGTCATTGATAAACAACTTTATAGGGCTGATGGGGTTTAGTGCAGATGGTGAAGTGGGTGTCAGAAAGCCTGACCCAGTCTTTTATTGGCTCCATCCCTGGGCAATTGGCTCAACCACTATAGATATTTGAATTTCTTTCTTCTTTAAAAATATATATTTTTATTGATTTCAGAGAGGAAGGGAGAGGGAGAGAGAGGTAGAAACATCCATGATGAGAGAGAATCAATGACTGGCTGCCTCCTGCATGCCCCCTACAGGGTGGAGCCACAATCCGAGCATGTGCCCTTATAGAATTCGGAACCTTCAGTCCACAGGCCGACGCTCTATCTACTGAGCCAAACCAACTAGGGCGATATTTGATTTTCTTCACTTATAAAATGAATATTTAAATAAACTATATCATAATGCTAGGAAATCTCATATGAAAATTATGTAGTGCTTAACTATTCTAACATATAAAATGATCTGGTTTGTAGAAAGACATAGGAACTGACAGAATTTCCAGAATTTGAAGAGTTAATGTGCAGAGTGAATCTCTCTCAAAGTGAAAAAAGTGAATCGATCAGCCTATTATTTGTCCCTCAGACAGGTTAGCACTGTGTTTTAAACCATATAACACCACATGATGGTTGATAAGTGTAAAGCTCAATACATAGGTGATTCATTTATTTATAAATTGGTACTTCTAGGTTTATAACTTTATCAAACTGTAAAACCGAAAGTCTTGTTTAATTTAAGGGAGTGTCTGAAACTACACATAGTTATTTAAATGAAGCTTGGCTTCCCACAGCAAGGACTATGGTAAATCTACATGAATTATAACTTGTACACAAATGTAAAGTTATTTTTTCTCCTTGTTTTAGAATGTGGAGGTATACTGACTGGTACTTACGGTTCTATTAAGTCTCCGGGATATCCTGGAAACTATCCCCCAGGAAGAGATTGTGTCTGGAGAGTTATAACCAGTCCTGACCTTGTGATAACATTTGCTTTTGGGACCTTAAGTCTGGAGCACCATGATGATTGCAGCAAAGATTATCTTGAGGTAAACAATTGTATTTAGATAGAACTTACTATGATATAATTAGGACACAAGAAACTATAGTTCGGTGATGTCTGTGGATGGCCACAATTTATTAGCAGTAGTTGGATGTGTTGTTCAATAGGCAGCCAATGTCGAAGTCTTGCTAAGTCCTTATTCTTAATAAAGCCAGATTCTTACTTCTGAGTCCCACTTGAATCTGGGAAAGAGACTGCCTTGCTTGCCCCTGTTATTTCCTAGAAGCCCAGTGCCCATGGGGATAGTAGAATTAATGAAATAATCACTAAGTAATGGGTTTCTTCTCCAATGCAGATTCCTATCTTGTGGTAAACTGTTGAGGTATTTCACAAATTGACCATAGTGTTCCATGAAGAAATTTAAGAGCCATTGTGTTGAAATGCATTGATAGAGGATGAGCCTTGCTGGGATATAATAATAGTCATTGGGAGGAACAGAGTCAGCCTGTGTGCCTCCTGTTTACCGTTAGTAAAAGATTAATATACAGAAAAAGAAAAGGCTGTTATAGTCCAATGCAACATGCATATAGGTACATAAAAATATGTGCTCTCCATCGTAGACTGAAATATCACTGAGAAGATTCTGTTCTTATGTTGTTCCTGTCTTATCACCATACGTCTCAGTACCTCTTGCAGTAGTGATAAAAGATAATGTGCTTTCCAAGTCCATTAGAGGAGAAGGTGACACTATGGAATTGTTCATAAAGGACAGAAGGGTGTGGATGTCAAACAGGGATCTCCACAAGTTAAAGCCATTAGTAATCGAGCTGTTGTAATGGATTTGAAACCTTGGGAATGACTGGAAGATCTACCCACCTCTCCCTGGAAAATTTCATCAAGACAATCTTTTGAATATTGACATTAAAGCGAACTTTCTTGAAATTAGTTTTCAATAAATTCCATCAAATTAATATTAGAAGCATTTTCTCACTTCTACATATTAATTTAGATATAAAGTTAATAGAAATTATCAATCACTGACAATATTTGAATGTCTCTCATTTCTCAACAAGCAATAATATTTAGGAATGAATTAAATATAGGAATAATAAGTCATGCTGCCCTATAACTTTGCTGACAATAGTAAAAGTAATTTGAAAGGACAAAATTACATTGTGCCTAGATGAGAATTCTCCTTTGCTACCTTGGTGTTCTATGTAGTATAGAATTTGCAATTGCAATACATGATATTTAATAGATTAAAAACCAATAATTAAAATGACTTGATTTCTAAGCCCACATAGTCATTGTTATGCTACTTTATCACTATTAAAGTTGCACTTTTTAAATTTCATTAATCCATCTTTCTGTTGTGTCTAATCTGACTTTACTTCCTTTCCCCTTCTGATTCTCCCAGATACCTAGACCAAGCTGTAAGTTAACTGACACTGCTCGTATTCTTTCTCCTATTTTCTATGCGTATATTCATTTCCTTCTTCTAGATTACTAGGGGCTCATACTTTCCAAACAAATAGCTAGGGAGAAAACCTAGGAAAGAAAACATTGAGATTAGTAACATCATGAGAAAAAGTCAAAGTAGAAGTCCAGCCTCTGAATGGAAATTGAGACAGAAGATAAGGCACCAGGGATAATGGGAGAAAGAGACTACCCTTTACTGATCCCCAAGCTTGTGTTAGCTACATATGTGAATGGAGAGGGTTATGCTAAGCGAAATAAGCCAGTCAGAGAAAGACAACTATCACACGATCTCACTCATATGTGGAATCTAATGAACAAAATATATCCAAAGACATAGAAGCTTAGAACAGACTGACTAATCTCAGAGGGAAGGCAGGGGTATGGGGGAGAGATTAACCAAAGAATTTGTATGCATATATGCATAACCCATGGACACAGAAAATAATGTGGAGAAGGCCTGAGGGGGGGGGGGCAGTGGTGGAGTCAATGGGGGAAAAAAAGGGGAAAGCTGTAATACTTTCAACAATAAATATAAATTAAAAATAAAATGCAAAAGGTTAAAACAAACAAAAATAAACAAAACACCTCCCAGAGCCATTACTTTTAAATGACGGATTTTCTGAAATTAATGTCCAAAATGATTTGGTTTGTTAGAATCTGACCATTAGAACTTAATGATTAGTTTTGTTATTTTAGATCCGAGATGGCCCTTTGAGTCAGGATCCTGTTCTTGGGAAATTCTGCACCACTCTGTCTGTCCCTCCACTCCAGACGACAGGTCCCTTTGCCAGAGTTCACTTTCATTCGGATGACCAGATTAATGACCAAGGCTTCTACATCACCTACTTAACATCACCTTGTAAGTAACCAGATAATTGGGAGCTTAATATGAGTCTGAAGGACATGTTATACCTATAGCTGTTTTTTTAGTGTGATACTGCAGATGACTTACTTTCTTAGACTAATAATATGTGTTTATAAACATTTCTGTCATGGTTCCAGATTTTTCTTTATCTTCCTAACGTTCTATTATTAGTGCTACAATACCCCTCTGTTCCTAAATTATGGGATCCATATCATGGTAACTATGTGTGAGGCACCTAAAATTAAATAATTTGCACTTGGGTTCCCTGGCTATTACTCAGTTTTGTTGATAGATGTTGTTCATGTAATCCAGTCTATCTTGAATTAATTTGCATTGATACCTTAACACAAAGCAACAAGCCAACAAAAAAAAATGATTAAATGCTCTATGATTTTTATTTTAGGATTGTAGAGGATTTTGTTCTTTTTAAATTATTATTTATTTCAGAGAGAGGAAAGGAAAGGGACAGAGGGATAGAAACATCAATGATGAGCTCACAACCCGGGCATGTGCCCTGACCGAGAATCGAACCATGACCTCCTGGTTCATGGGTAGATTCGCAACCACTGAGCCACACTAGCTGAGCAAGGATTTTGTTCTTAACATACATCATTGTGCCTTGATGAGAATTCACATCAAGGCACAATGTTTAGGTCTCAATATCAGGAAACTAACAATAAACATCTTTTTACTGGTCCCCTTTCTCCATTTACTTTGGCTTCAGGCAGGATGTGCAGCTGCCCTTCTGTAATTTCTGTGGTCCATACCTGCTTTCTATGCCTATCAACCTTCCCCCGACCACATCTTGCTATTCTGTATTCATTATTCCTTTAATCTGATTCATTTTTTTAGTTACATATTTGTTACATGTATTTTATAAACTGCCTCAGATTTTTTTGCAATGGAGGAGATTATAAATGTATTTAAAAAGCAAATTGTAGACGAGGATGTTAGATTGGAATTTAGATCACACATCTCTACATCTATCTCCTTAGGCACTACATGGTTGTCTTACAAACACACGTCAATTGGAAATCTCATAATCAGATGAGGTATATAAATATACTAGAGGCCTAATGCGCAAAATTTGTGCAAGAGTAGGCCTTCCTTCCCCTGGCTGCTAGCACTGGCTTCCCTCTGGCACCTGGGACCCGGGCTTCCCTTGCAGCCCTGGCTTTGTCCAGAAGGTTGTCCAGAAGGATTTCCAGTCTAATTAGCATATTACGCTTTTATTATTATAAATAAACCTGTACAGGGTGAATAAAGTTGATATGTGACTGCATGTGTATGTGTAAGTTTTTGAAAATTGTATTTAATGCCTGGGAGCCAGAGGGATGCCCATCCACATGACTTTTTCCTTCTTCTCCCTTCTCTTCAGCGGATCCACCTTGTGGAGGAAACTACACAGACCCAGAGGGTGTTCTCTCCCTTGACTTGAATGGGCCTTTCACTCAGAACAAACATTGCATCTATGTCATACAGCAGCCCCTGGGAGAGCAAATACAGGTCAACTTCACCCACGTGGAGCTGGAAGGCCAGAGTGGCTGTTCTCCGAGTTACATTGAGGTAACTTTTACTACTTTGGCCTTAGATTATGTTTTTCAATGTTTTTCTGTTCTGTAGAGCTGTGGTCTTCAAATGGTTGTTGTGTAACCAGATAATCAAGAGGTCTGGGCTGCCTGTCACTACTTCAGCCAATTAAGCAGAGACACGGTTGAATCATATATGAGGTTTATTCCAGTAACTGTTCTCCGAGTTACATTGAGGTAACTTTTACTACTTTGGCCTTAGATTATGTTTTTCAATGTTTTTCTGTTCTGTAGAGCTGTGGTCTTCAAATGGTTGTTGTGTAACCAGATAATCAAGAGGTCTGGGCTGCCTGTCACTACTTCAGCCAATTAAGCAGAGACACGGTTGAATCATATATGAGGTTTATTGCAATAATGCCGGCAGTATGGGAGAGCAGCAGGTCATCAGCAAAAATCTGCTCTGCAGCCCACCATAAACCAACAGCTTATATTGGGTAGAAGGACAAGATTATGTGGGGAAGTAGGAATTGCAGATATGGGAAAGTGGGCATGGGGTAATCATTACAGGTTACAGGTCATGCGGGCTGGGTGGCAGGGGAGTCACAGAGAGCGGGTGGCCCGGGACCAGATTACAGGTAATAGGGGCTGGGGGTTGTAAAGAGCAGGAGCTTCCAGGACTAGGTGCCACGAGGTTATAAATCTTTCCATAATGATAGGCAGTTCCATGAAGGAGGACAGACTGCTTTCCGATGTTAGTTCCCATGTCTCAATGCATACAACTCTCAGCGAGGTTAAAGGGTGCTTTCTCTAATCAGAAAGGAACAGTCATGTTTATAGAGCACGATTAATCCTATACAATGAAAAGCTAATATGCTAATTAGACTGGACTGCAGAACAACCTGCCAGAACGACCTGCTGGAATGACCTTCCAGAACGACCAATGGGCAGGGGGCAGGGCGGCAGCTGAGGTGGCTGGGGCTGCAAGGGCCTACCCTTGCACAAATTTTGTGCCTTGGGCCTCTAGTATTTTTTATAATTATAGTTAATTTTGAATATTCTATTTCTGCCCCTAACAGTTGGGCCAGCGGTATCCAGATCACCCAGGTGAGAAGCAATTCCATACCCTAATTCAGGTGGCCTGAGTCAGAACCTCCAGGGTAGGCCAGCCATCTGCCTTTTAACAGACCAATCTAGGTAATTCTGATGCAGGCTAGAGTCTGAGAACAGCTGCTTTAGAGAGTTTGGAAGAATTTTCCAAAAATAGACCTATGGATGGCAAAACAGGAAATTGGTGATGGAATAGCAAAGGACAAAAATGAAAGCTGAAACTAGAAACTCATAAAAATGCTAAATTACAAGCTATTAAATTGAGCGCTAGTAACTGAGGTGACTGCAAATAGTAGGAATGATAGGATTCACTAATGGGATGCAGAATTCAGAGATTCTCCAGGACAATATTCTATGTGAGGGGACTCGACCCAGAGAAGTAAAAGGATTTGCCCAGGTGAGCCAGCTGGTCAGTGGCAGAGAGTTAAATTAAAGCATTGAAAACTCTTGTTATAAAGTTTAGATTTTTTTTCTCATTAGTTCTGCTTACTCTCCTTCAGAAAACCTTAATTATGGTTTAAGTGTGTGTAATAATTGTAAGAAGAATATTTGAAACAAAAAGGCAGTTTTTGTTTTCCTGGCCTGGTATTTCTTTTGCTTAATTATTGGTCTAGCCACAAATTAAAGTGCTGAGCAAATGAAACAAATCACTTTTTGTTGAGCACAATCATTTTATGTAAACTCAGAGAGGCATTGACAATTTTGTTTGCTCATGTGTGTTAGACTAATTCAGTGTTCTAGGAAAAACCTGTATAACCTCTGCTCTCTTTCCTCCTTGACATGTAGAGAAAGGAAACGTAGGATTTAGCAGCTAGATCTAGTACAGCTTTGTAGCTGGACATAAAGAACTTAGCTTTGCAAAATGAAAAGAAAAACAATCAGAATGTGCTTGGTTCAATGCCTTGCACACCAGTGATTGGCTACTAAATGGTAACAGATGATGATGATGATGATGACGAAGAGGACAATGACAGGGAGGAGAAGGTGACATATTGAGTTTGCAATCATCTAAGAACATACTTCTAAGTAAAACTAGACAAGTATTCCTGATTATAGAAAAGAGGATTTTTAAAACAACAGATAAAAGATAAGTTTATTGACAGGTATATTAAAAGGGGCACTGTTTCATGAGGCATAAAAAGCTTTAAAATTTTAACTATGAAATCATGAAACATAATAATGAATAACAAAAGATAATAACCTAAGAAAATGTTCTTTGGTCCCTGTGTAGCTTCTCTCATCTCTTATCCCTCACCATCTACTCTCTCATTTCAAGTGGGACCACATTCCCTTTCCTGTGCACCCAGACTAACCCACAGCTGGTCTCCAGGATCATCTTTATTTTATACTAGAGGCCCAGTGCATGAAGTTCATGCATAGGTAGGGTCCTTAGGCCTGGCTGGCGATCAGGGCCTATCAGGTTCCCGGCCTCCCCGCCTCCCTGCCTCGCCTCCTCCTCCTTCCCTCGTTCCCTCAATGCCCCGCCACCGCTGCTGGTCACCCGCCATATTCTGTGCCACCCCCTGGTGGTCAGCATACGTCATAGCAAGTAATCGAACTCCCAGTCTCCCAGTTGAACTCCCGAGGGAACACTTTGCATATTAGCCTTTCATATATATAGACTAGAAGCCTGGTGCATGAAATTCGTGCATGGGTAGGGTCCCTAGGCCTGGCCAGGGATCAGGGCCATCTTCCCTGGCTTCAGGAAGCCAGCCCTACCCCCTGCCGCTGGTCGCCCTCTGTGTCTGGGGCAATTGGCAGGGTGATCGCACCCCAGCACTGCTCGCGTCAGCTACCACTCACCCCCGGTTTCCAGTTCCCCATCGGGCAATTGGAGCCTGCCAGCCGGGGGGAGGAACTGAGAGGTTGGCTGTTCCTGCCTGCTCGCTGCCCCCCACCCCCCACCGTTGGTCACTCTCTATGTGTGGGGCCACCAGTAGGGCAATCAGGGCCCCGGTGCCACCTGCGTCCACTGCCACCCACCCCCAGTTCCCCATTCCCCATTGGGCAATCAGGGCCTGTGGGCTGGGGGCAGCTCCTGCATTGAGCATCTGCCCCCTGGTGGTCAGTGCACATCATAGCTGACTGGTTGTTCCGCTGTCCAGTCGATTTACATATTACACTTTTAGATATATAGATAAGGGGCATTTCAATCTGAAGCTCACACCGCAAGAAGCCACATGTCAAACACTGCTGCGTGGTAGGATTCTATTTTCAGCTCTTGGTTGAGTCAAGCCCAATACCAGCATATTTGTCTTGTTTTGAATAAAATTTAATGCTAAATTAGATTTTTTAAATTGTTATATAAGAACAAATCTGGATACATAGCAGATAAAAATAAATGAACACATGCATTAAGATGTGGCTGTGGGACCTGATCCACTGCAGATGTTAAAGCTTATTACTGGCAGGGCACTGGATTTCACTTTTAACATTTCAGAGAAACTGTGTTTTTTGGCCCGTTTAATTTTAGCTCTTACCATAGGCTAAATATCGTGGGTCACATGTTGTTATTGGGTCTCTGGGCCTGCAACAATCAGTGTATGCTGGATGAATAAGGCAATCAATGAGAAATCTGGGTCTGGTCCTCAGAGCACTAGAACATTGAATTGGTCCTTGTCATTTCTTTGCATATGTGATGCGGCATAAAGACTGGATTTGGTGTGACACTGCAAGTGACTATGGCACGACTTCACCTTACTTCTTAAGAAAAACTCTTCATTAATACAAACCATGTTCAAACAGGAGTCATCTTTCTCCAGATGGTGCTATAATAACCAATAGTCAGTAAAAATAAATCAAAAACACTAACAAACAAAAAATTCCTGTGGCTTACAACAATGTTCATTTATTTGTTCTTTGCTCATGTTAACATGTTGGTGTGGGGTCAATAGCAGCTCTTCTGACCTGTTCCCTGTCCCAGCAGCCCCTGGGACCCAGGCTCTTGGTCTTGTGAGCGGGCAAGTAAGAGACTGTTGAGTAACGCAATGACTCCCAAAGCTTCTACTCAGAAATCATACACCACTTCTGCTCACATTCTGCTCACATTCTGCTAGCCCTATGGCCAAGCCCACAGCCAGTGGGAAGGATATGTCTTTATTCTCCACGGGGAAGCATTGCAAGTCACATGGCAGTGAGCGCAGGGAAATAATACAGTCTATTCCAGTGCACAAGCACAAAGCAGAGAGGGCTTTGGGGGGAATGGGGCGTTGCAAACTCATAAGTCCTAGAATACTGAATGCAAGATGTGCTACAAAAGCATTTGGGGTCACTTTAGATCGTTTAATGGATTTTATTTGAATGTCATTTTCAAAGAGGTTGTGGTTGAGATATTGCTATGTCTGGGATCCAGGGAGAATACAGGCTTTCAGAATTAATGAGGTTTCATTTTCACACAGAGAGAAACACAGCTAAAATCAATTGTGCCTCTAGGTTTAGGGCCCTCGAGCACGATAAGTTCCTCTGCAAACATTTGGACTGCAGCTGCCTTTCTCCTTCCTAATGCCCTTGAATTTCATTAGCGAGGCCCAGGGGAAAGGCCCACTTTAGCTGGCTCTGATGCTATGTGGCTGTTTTTCTTCCTTCCTGTCATCTTCTAATGGGCACAATAGAGAAGAGAGACTACAGTCTTAGCAGAAGCAAATGGAACCCTGGAGAATGAGAAAGCAGGAAGATATCTTACCCTGTGTTCATGCTTTCTGGTTTCTAAGAACTGCCCTATGTCTGCATCTCTAACAGATTTCTAATTCAGTGTGTATGATAACTGGGCAAAAATGTTTTGTGTTTAGGATGTCAGTTAGAGTTCAATTTTACACTTAGTAATGAACTGTCTTGCCCTGTCTTAAAATGAATGAATCTACAAGCATTTGTTAAATGCCTGTTTACAAAGTTCCGTGTTTAGGTGCTAAAGGGGATTCAGAATTTTTTCTTCTTTCAGAGAATTGCTATTTGATTAGAGAGGTATTTAGCAAACTTAATGACAGTATGCAAAAAAAATGTGTATTACAGCTCATAGAAAGGAACTGGTTTGGTGTGAATCAGTGGAGAGGTGTGTGCTTTTTTAATGTCTGTGAGACTGTCATATGGCTGTGCCATAATTTACTTAATCACCCGCCTATTATGAGACGTTTGGAATACTTTCAGTTTTTGTTATCATAGAATATTCTTTGATGTGGATCCTTGTGTGTCTTTGCCTGTATCTCGAATGATTTCCTTATGGCAGTGTGTTAGAGTGGAGTCGCAGGGTCCCAAACTAGGACTATTTTGAAGACTCCTGGGACATACTGTCAAATTATTTTCCAGAAGTTTATACTTTCACAGTTACAGATGAGAGTAGCTGTGTTACCATATCCCCTCCAGCTTTGAGTATCATACTTTCAAAATCTTCCCTCTACTGCCTGCTCCCCTCAGCCTGGGTAATCCTTTAAATCTCATTTCTGCTGAGTATTCCCTAATCCCCTGTATGAGTTCAGAGTGTTTGGTTAAATCCAGGATTCTCTACACTTTAAGACCTTTTCATATCACCTTTTCACTATTCTGAAATGAAATCCATGGATGATAGAACTTCAATATACACATTTATATGAAACATTTTGGTTCAAAGTATAATATTTAGGAGAAATAAACTTTAAAAAGCCTGGTCAAGATGCACTTGAAGGCAAAGCGAAAGCAGTTAAGTTGCTAGCTCCCTGAGTTGCTGTGAATGCTGGCATGGCTGGGGAGGTTAGTGACCAATTTTCTGAAATGGTGACTGACTCTTGGCAGATTTCCAGGAGAAAAAAAGAAAGAACTTCTTTCGATTTACACTCTACTTGTCATCCTGGAAAATTCAGTGTGATTTTAACTGGGCAAAAATATGTTGTGTTTAGTATGTCAGATAGAGCTCAATTTTACACTTAGTAGCGAACTGTCACTTACATGAATGTCGCAGGGCATAGAATTCTTGTTGTGCGTGACTGTCTCTCACATTTCAGGATAGTTAGTATCTATGGTCCCCAGCCATTACGTGCCAATAGTGCGTCTCCACCATTGTGTTAATAATTGAAACAAAAACAAAAAATGCCTTCACAGATGTCCAACTGTGACACCTACCGAGAACCATTGTGAAGTAATAATATAGTAGCCTTCACTTTTCAGACATGATGTTCCTGTTTTTATTTTTTTTTTAAATGGGCTTGCTTGTTGTAAGTTCCTTGTGAACAGTGTCTCTCTCGTAGTGCTGTCCCCAGCAACAGGCACTGGCATGTATTGATGCCTTGATAATGCTCATGGAGAGGATGAGCTAATATTTCTATGGCTAGGTCATCCAAAAGAATTCTATATAAGGAGTAGCATGTATATCCACGGGAGAATTTCCGATTTTGGTGAAGAAGCTCTAGTGTCAAGTATAACAACAGTCCACATTTTCTATTAGTAGGCATTTTGCTATGGAATTCACACTATTGTTTTATCTACTTGCTTCAACAACTCCTTGAGCTAAGTTTAGACTTAGTAAGTTGTTCGAGCTTTTAAGTGAGGAGATTTGTGACAGATTTGAACCCAGGTCTATATGACTCCATAGATGGTACTCATGGCCATTACACTAAAGGATATTGATTATTGATTAAACCAATTGATCTTTATTATATGAAAAACTTTTTATTTTACTCCTAACTTTCTAAGAGTTTTGTTTCTAATAAATAGAAATGCTAACAAACTTTCTGACATCTATGGAAATATATGATTTATCTTATTGAACCTATTGATAGGCTTAATTTATAATTTCTCATTTCAGATAATCCTTGCATAACATTTATTCTTATATTTAATTTGGTATATAAAGCTTAATGATGGAGTGAACTCATTTTTCTAGGATGGTGTTTAGAATTTTTGTATTGATGTTAATAGGTGAGATCAACCCATAGTTTTCCTTTGTATTAATGTTAGGCTTTGATAAGATAGTTCTGAGAAAAGTTAGTTGGGAATTGTTCTATGTTTGAGGGTGTCTTAGGATAAATTATATATGGGAATTATCTGTTCCTTAAAAGTTTAAAATAACTTACCAAGCAGAGCATCTTCTGTGATAATGTTTTCAATTTTATCTGTGCTTTGTTTATTCAAATCTTATTTTTCTTTCTTGATATAATTTTAGCAATTTATATTTTTTTCTGGAAATAACCATTTCAAAAATTCAACAATATTAACATAGAGTAATACATGGAATTATCATATTAAACAAATTCCTCAGTATCTGTGCATTTATATCATCTTTGTCATTTTTTTAAATCCTCACCTAAGAATATGTTATTGTTTTTAGAGTGACAGGAAGGGAGAAGAAGCGAGAGAGGAAAACATTGATGTGAGGGAGAAACATTGATCAGTTGCTCCCCATACAGGCCCAGACTACGGATTGAACCTGCAACCTTCTTTGTGTTGGGATGATGCTCCAACTGAGTCACCTGGCAGGGGCTCATCTTTGTCATTTTTAATTTTGTGTATTTGTACTTATTTTTTTTATTTCCTTTACTTTCTTTTATCTTTATTGCCAAATATATGTCTTTTATATTCCCACACCCTAACTTTCCTTGATAAACAGTTCATGAATATATTCATGAATTCCTTTTTTGTATTTTATTAGATTTCTATTTTATTTTTCCTTTCTTATTTCTCATTTTAATATTTTCTAATTTTTAAGTTAACTCCTCAGAATCTCTCTCTTTTAAAAAGTACTTTTCTGTTGTTGTTGTTGTTTTCAATAACAAAAGCAGTTTAGTCTATGAGTTCCTCTAATTACAGATGTGGCTAAATATGCTGTCTCATCACATTTTGTTGTTTTCTAAATAGTCCAAAAGTGTACTTTTATTTCCTCTTTGACATTGTGGCAATTATTAGAGGAACTTTGTGTTTTTTTTTTGCTTATGTATCTTATGCTTTTGGATCTTTTTGGCTTAAGATTTTGTTAGTGTTATTTGATTGTGCTAATAATGACCCACCCTACTGCTTTCAAGTGTAATATAAAAATGTAACCCAAATGAGATTATAACTCATTTTGAATCTGACATCTTCTCATATCCAAAGAATACTACCCTACCAAGATAATTTTGTCGATTAGAATTGCAGATCTATTTTATTTTTCTGTTTAGGTTCGAGATGATGATACCTTACTTGGAAAAGTTTGTGGCAATGAAACCCTCTCTCACATTAAGTCTATTACTAATAGTATCTGGATCAGGTTTATAATCGATGCTTCTGTTGAAAAAGCTGGTTTCAGCGCTGTTTATCAAGTGGGTAAGAAAACCCATGCCTCAATTTTTAAATGTATAATTTCCCTGATTGTAACATTTTAGTTTCTTGAAATAATTTTGTCATTTTATGTCCTTAAGCAGCAAGGAAAAAAAAATCTAATAGTAATGTCACATTCAATTATATCCTTGCACATAATTAGAATTTACAATAAAATTGAGGGCAAAGATCATTTCTCTCTGCACAAATACTACTCTCACTTTCATACTTACAGCTTGTGGAGGTGAATTAACTGGAGAAGGGGTCATTCGCTCGCCCTTTTATCCCAACGTGTACCCGGGAGAAAGGATCTGCAGGTGGGCTATCCACCAACCCCAAAGCCAGGTAGTTCTTCTCAACTTCACTGGCTTTGAAATTGGAAGCTCTGCCCACTGCGATACAGATTATATTGAGGTAAGAGTAAAACACCTTTGAGTATTTATATTTGGTCGGATAGTATTAAAATATTATGTTATATTATCTTCAAATCAGTTACATGAAACAAAACTAGTTTGCACAGACCAATATTTCATATGAATATAGATGTAAAAATCCTCAACAAAATACTAGCTAACTGAATGCCTCAGGATATAAAAATGATTATATATAATAGCCAAGTGGGACTTATCTCAGGAATGCAAGCTTGGTATGCATCCCCAAATCACTTAATGTAAAAGGAAATAAAGGAAAAAGCCACATGATTACCTCAATAGATACCAAAAGGCACTTGGCAAAGTCCAATACCTTTTCATGATAAAAACACTCAACTAATTAAGAATAGAAGGATACTTCCTTAATGTGGTAAAGGGCATCTGTAAAACACACACACACCCCACAACTAACACCACATTTAATGATGAAACACTAAATGCTTTGCCCCTTTGGTCAATAAAAACATAAAGATGTCTATTCTCACTTCAACATTGTACTGGAAATTCTAGGTAGGGCAATTAAACAAGGAAAGGAAATAAAATGCACTCAAATGTAAAGGAAGGATTTAAACTATCTCTATTCACAGATAATGTGATCTTGTATATAGAAAAATCATGCACACACATGAACTATTAGAACTAATAAATTCAGCAAGTTGCAGGATACAAGATCAAAATGTGAAAGTCATTTCTTTTTCTATACATTAGCAATGAAAATAAAATCAAGGAAACAATTCTATTTATAATAGCATAAAAAGAATAAATATTGATGAGTATATATTGAAAAAGATGTGTAATACATGCACTCTAAAAACTACAAACCATTGTTGAAGGATATTAAAGTCCTAAATAAATGGAAAGACAGCTCCTGGTCATGGATTATAAGACATAAAGTTGTTAAGATGGCAATACCTCCCAAATTTATCTAAAGATTTAATTCAATCCCTATCAAAATCCCAGTTGGCACTTTTGCAAAAATTTACAAGCTAATTGTAAAATTCATATGGAAATGCAAAGGAATCAGAATAACCAAAGCATTCTTGAGAAAGAACAAAGTTGGAGGACTCACACTTATTGATTTTAAAATTTAGAACAAAGGTGTGGTAATCAAGTGTGTTATTTGATAAGGATAAAAATATGAAACAATGGAACAAAATGTGAACATCTAGAAATAAATCTATACCTTTGTGGCTAATTGATTTTTAAAAACAGTGCCAAGCCATTTCAATGAGAAAAAAAAAAAGTTTTTCAACAAATAGTGTGGAATAGCTACATGCAAAATTATGAAACTGGACCCCTTCCTATACCATTCACAAAAATTAACTCAAAATGAATCATAGAACTAAATATGGGAGCTAAAACCCTTTACTTCTAGAAGAAAACATAGGAGTAAGTATTTGTGACCTTGGGTTAGACAAAGCCTTTTTATATAGGACACAAAAAGACAAACAACAAAAGAAAAACTAGGAAAATTAGACTTCATCAAAATTAAAAAGAACCTAATTTTTTAAATATGCAAAAATATGAATATATATTTCTTCAAAGAAGATATACAAATGGCCAATAAGTACATGAAAAGATGCTCAACATCACTAATCATCAGGGAAATACAAGTCAAACCACAATGAGGTAGTGCTTCATACCGACTAGGATGGCTGTAAACAAGAGGTCAGATAATAACAAGTGTTGGCAAGGATTTGGAGAAATGGAAACCCTTTTACACTTGTACACTGCTGGTAAGCATTTAAAATGGCATAGCTGCTTTGGAAAAGAGTTGGCAGTTCCTCAAAAAGTTAAATCTAGAGTTATCATTTGATCCAGCAATTCCACTCTTAGGTATATACCCAAGGAAAATAAAATGTGTCTACACAATGATGTGTACATGAGTGACTACAATGATTAGTCATAATAGCAAAGTAGTATAACAATCTATGTGTTCATCAACTAATGAATGAATTAATGTAATGTGCTTTATCCACACATGGAATATTATATGGCATTAAAAAGGAATGAAATAATGACACATAACTTTGAAAACATTATGCTAAGTGAAAGAAGCTAGTCACAAAAGCCACATATTATATGATTCCATTTATTTGAAATGCAGACTAGACTATGGAAATAAAAAGTAAATTAGTGGCTGCCTGGAGCTGGGGTTTGAGGAGAATGGGGAATGACAGCTAACAGGCATGGAGTCTCTTTTGGGATGACAAAAATATTCTAAAATTGAATTTTACTATATTAATAAAAACATTTCAGAAGTAATTATTCTTAAAGCAGTTTTTCATAATAACTATTTAATAATAAATTTGAATATATCTTTTTAACCTTAGATTGGTAGCAGTTCTATTTTGGGTTCTACTGAAAATAAAAAATATTGTGGCACAGACATACCTTCGCTTATAACATCTGTGTACAATTTTCTTCATGTAATATTTGTGAAAAGTTCTTCTACTGAAAATCATGGTTTCATGGCTAAGTTCAGTACTAAAGATTTGGGTAAGTGATTGACACTTTCTTCTGCTTTGTTTCTCAGGCTTATATAAGAATAAGTAAACAATGGAAATGAACTATTACAAAAAATCTATCCATACTGTAGATGTATACTTATCTACACTGTAAATTTTTAATGTACACTCTAAAGAAAAATATATATTTCATAATCAGCACATAGCAAGAGTTAATTGATGTCTATTAATAAGATTAAAACCAAGTTATCTGAAGTAGCATATAAGGAAACTTTTTCTTTTTGAACTTTTAAGAAGTTATGATCAGATTATTTTATCTTGATTTTCAGGTAGCTTGTTGGTTACTCGTTCTAACAATTATTATTTTTACTTCAATAGCATGTGGAAAAACTCTCACAGAGCCAACAGGAATTATTCAAAGTCCTGGTCATCCAAATATCTACCCCCATGGTATCAACTGTACCTGGTATATATCAGTCCAACCTGGCTTCCTGATAAATTTGATATTCAGGAGATTTCATCTGGAGTTTCATTACAATTGCACAAGTGACTATCTGGAAGTTTATGACACTGGTTCTGGGACATCTCTTGGGAGGTGAGATTATTTTGGTTTAGTTTTTTTTCACACAAAAATTTTCTTGTGTCATTGAAGGATGTTAAAGTCCACCATGTTGTGTTATAAAAACCAGGTGAGATTATCATGCTTCTCAATGGCCACTCCTGCATTACTACTCTGTAGCCTTGGCACTTTATATATTTAAGTTTTGACATATGTGTATACCCATGAAGGCATCACTAAAATCAAAATAATGCACACGTCCATTATCCTCAAATTCTTCTTTCTGCCCATGATAATTTCTCACTCTGCCTCCATCCCTAGGAAACCACTGCCCTGCTTTCTCTCACTGTAAATTGGCTTGCATATTCTGGAAGTGGAATCATACTGTACATACTATTTTTTTTTTAACTGGCTTTCCTGATCAGCAAAATGTATTAGTTGACTTCTTGGATCTGAGAGCTTATAATTTTATCAAATTTGAAACATTTTTGGCCGTTAGTTCTTGAAATAACTTTGAGGACTCGACTCTGATTACTTGTATCTTAGGTCATTTTGATATTGTCCCAGGACTCACTGGTACTCCGTTCATTTGATTTTGAGTCTTTGCTCTCTATGTGTTTCATTTTGGAAAATTTGTATTGTTATGTATTCAAGTGCCCTAATCTGATTTTCTGCAATGCCTGCTCTGCTGTTAACCCTACCACGTGTAGTTTTCATCTCAAACATTATAGTTTTCATTTCTAAAAGTTTGCTTTGGGCCATCTTTTTTATCTTCCATGTTTCTACTTTGCACATTAATGTTTTCCTCTAGCTTCCTAAATCTGTGAGATTCAGTTATAACTATTTTAATGTTTTTGACTGTGAATTCAGTCATCTGTGGCATTTCTTGCTATGTTTTGGTGGGTCAGTCTTTCTTCTCATTATGGTTTATACTTTCCTCTCATGTCTGGTAATATTTGATAGGATGCCATGCATTTTTAATTTTGTGTTTTTGTGCACTGAACATTATTGTATTCCTATAAGTATTCTTGAGGTTTGTTTTGGGATGTGAACAGTTTGATCATAGTATTCCTATAAGTATTCTTGAGGTTTGTTTTGGGATGCAATGAAGTTATTTGGGAACAGTTTGATCATGTCCAGTTTTGCTTTTCAAGTCACTTGTTTACCTTTGCTGTTTGATATTAGTGTCTTGAAAGCCATTGTTTTATGTATTTTAGTATTTTTAGGTTCAAGGTTATATCCAGCTCCTCTTTGTTGAAAAATGGAAATTTCCTAATGTTTTTTAAATTTCTTGCATTTCATTTTTTCATCTACTTTTTAGATGTTCTTCCTTTACCCATTATTGTCTTAAACTTATTTCTCACCTGCTTTTAATCTCCCTTTTCATTTTTTTGCTCTTATTTGTCTTAATCTTTAATTTTAAAAACTTTTTATTTTTAATGGTACTTGACTCATAATCACTGAAAAACACGTATTTTTTGCTGAATGGCATAAACTACCATAATGTTCTTGTCCAGTTTGGCAGATATGGGCCTATACAAAGTCATTGAAAATATTAATGAATTCAAAAAATAAAATAAAATATTAATAAATTCATCTAATTTTATTTCTATCAAGATATCAAATCTATTTTAACATTGAAATAGTATTACACACTATTTTTTCTTTTTCTCCTTCAGAAATTAATCAATCTAGTTTCCATATATTTGGTTTCTATTTTTTCCCTTTGTCATTGCATTTGGTTAATCTCACCAAGTGTGCATTGATTTGAGATTTCTATTTCATAGTCACTCCTTTTTTAAAATTCTTTATTGATTGAAGTATTACATAAGTCTCATTTTTCCCCCATTGATCTCTCTCTGGCCACTCGCTCCCCACAGCACATGCCCTCACCCCCCTAGTATCTGAGTCCATTGGTTATACTTATATGCATGCATACAAGTCCTTTGGCTGATCTCTTACTCCACCCCTCACCCTCCCCTGCCTTCCCTCTGAGGTTTGATGGTCTGTTCAATGCTTCTTTGTCTCTGGATCTATTTTTGTTCATCAATTTATGTTGTTCATTATATTGCATAAATGAGTGAGATCGCGTGGTATTTATCTTTCCCTGACTGACTTATTTTGCTTAGCATAATGCTCTCCATGTCTATCCATGCTGTTGTGAATGGTAAGATTTCCTTCTTTTTTACAGCAGCATAGTATTCCACTGTGTAGATGTACCACAGTTTTAACAGCACAATTTACAATAGCTAAGATTTGGAAACAGCCTAAGTGCCCATCATCAGTTTAGTGGATTAAAAAACTGTGGTAGATCTAGTCACTCCTTCTTACAAGTGTTTCTCCAGAAAACTGCTCCTGGCATGTTTTTGATCACAACTCTACTTTCAGCATGACTAGAATAGTTTTTCTGAATAAAGCTGCTTTTATTCAGCCAAAATTTGACATGGCTTAGTAATCAAACTCTTACCTCTGCATAGGCCAGCTGTCAAAGGAGAATATATTTTACGTAAATAGGGTTTGTTATCCTAGGCACTGTTTTAGGTCCTTTATATACAGTATATTATCGCATGAAATTTTCAAAACAACCTTATGAAGTAGTTACTATTATCATTCTCAGTTTAGAGATGGAGAAACTGAGGCATAGAGGTTGAGTGACCTGCTCAAAGTCACAATAGCTGTAAATGATAGAACTGACTCAAGTCTGTGCTTTATGCGTTTATGACATACGGTTTCCTTTTGTTGTGAAAAGTTTATTACATTTCTGTTAATAAGTTCAATAATATGCTATATGGTGACCTAGCATAGCTTGTAATTTCTAATTTCATTAAACTTATACGACAAGTCATATAGCCAGGTACGCACATAAAACTTTTAGGGAAGTAATCATGAATAGGGAGATACCTTCAATTTTGTAAAGGTTTGTGCCTAAAGGTAATAGGGGATATTATTATTATTTTTACATGTCCTAATTTTGGTGCATTATTTAAAGTGTACTAAAAGATTTTAAACCTGTGTTCTTTTTTGTTTTTGTTCCAAATAGATATTGTGGAAAATCAGTCCCACCCTCTCTTATCAGCAGTAACAGCTCATTAACGCTTGTGTTTGTGGCTGACTCTGACCTTGCTTATGAAGGCTTTTTAATAGAATATGAATCAACTAATGCATCAGCAGGTAACAAAACAGCATTTGTATACTTGGGTTCCTTTACTCCATTATTAAATGGTACTATGAAAATACTTCATCCCCAAATGAAAGCTATATTTAGAACAACATGTAGTGACTTCAGTATCTTTCCTATTAAAAATAGAGGAATGATTAAATGAGTATTGTTTCAATGATAAAAATTTTCTAATTTTCAAAATTGGAAGGAGGTTTTGTAAGAGGATGTTTTTGTTCTTAGGAACTATACACTTATGTTTTCAGGGCTAAAGATATGTAGTGTTTTCAGATTACTCTTAAGGGATTCAGAGAATAAAGGAGTGAGCAAGTCAGAGAGGGAGAAAGGGTGGGGGAGGGAAAGCAATGGGGGCAACATGCAAATATGCAATAAATCTGGCTAAAAGCAATTCAGGAGCTATTTATTGCAATTTTTCCATGAGTTTAAAATTCTACCAAAATAAAGTTCAATTTCTTCTACCAAAGAAATCAAATATGCATTTTAAGAAATTAAAAAAGAACAACAGCAGATAAAATAAGAGGCTACTTACACAGAATTTTATGGCAGGAAATAAAAGATTTCTTGACAAAATAAACATTTCTAAATTTGACTTAATAAAATTGAACCTTTTCAGCATTTATAACTTTTATTTTATTTTTCTTATTAATTAATTTTCATCATTATTTTGCTCTTTGTAAATGCAGTGTAGGAACAATTACCTTTTGTAAGGAGGGTCTTTGATGTAATACAAGCATGTCAAACTCACGGCCCACCAGCCATGAGTTTGACATGCTTGATGTAATATGTAAACCAGAGATGCCCCAAACCCAAAACCTTTGGGGTTTAGGAGTATTATGTTTGTTTATGTTTATGTTCCCACCTGGGATGTGTACCGGTTTAGAGAGTCTGGGTTTTCCTTTTTCATCATATTTAGAAAGAAATTTAATGGTCCAAAATACTATCCAGTGTAAGTCTATAGTGGACAGATGCTGAGCTTCCCAAGCATATCCTAACCTTTGGATTCCCCAGAAACATGGTATGACTTCCTGATGCCCCTTCGGAAAGCACAGGTGCCAGGACATGCTCCCTCTAACAGCGTCATGTGCCCAGAGATCCCAGGTGCTCATCTTTTAAAGCTCCCACTCCCATAAATAAAAAAATACATAAATAATATAAAAGCCTAATATGCAAATTGTCCCTGGGGGAATTGGACCGGGAGACTGATCACTTGCTATGATGTGCGCTGATCACCAGGGGGTGGTGCAGAATGAAGGGAGGCCCTAGCCAGCAGCCCGAAGGCCCTGATCGGCCCTGATCACCAGCCAGGCCTAGGGACCTTACCTGTGCATGAATTTCATGTACCGGGCCTCTAGTAAATAAATAAATAAATAAATAAGTAAATACATACATACATACATACATACATAAATAAAAATTTTAAAAAATCTCCCACTCAGAATCCCTACCAAATTTTTCATTTATTTCTCTTCAGAGTGGCTAGAGACACTACCATTCATTTCAGGCAAAACTGCTGTTCTGTGCAGTAATTGAAGTTCTATGTCTTGGTAGCATGGCTTTAGAGCTCTTCAGAATCCCGACTGTGAGGGAATCATAGACCTTTCTCTCCTGCGGGACCCTCTCTAGGAAACGGTTTATTTTCCAGCCTAAGCTCACGGGAAATTGAATCCTCAGTGATTAAAACAGGTTATGTTATACGATTGACTTATTCACTGGACTTTTTTCAGTTGTTTAACATCCAATGACTAAAATTGACTTTTCAAGAAATTCCAGTGTGCACACAATTTTCCATCCTTCTATAGTTTCTTCTGCCTCATATATTTGGCCAGAACCACACTGAATATTAGATTAGGTTTTGGATAAAATCACTTGAACTCTCTGGGCCACAGTTTTCTCATCTGTAAAATTAAGGGATTAAATCTGATGACCTTTGAGATGTCTTCTAGCTTTAATCAACTATATGAACACAGTTTAATTTGCTGCATGAATAAGCTAGCTGTATCTTAGATAACATATGATGCAGGCAGGGCCTCCTGGAAATGTTATGGGAATTTTTGTAATAATATGAAAAGTAAGACATATCTCTGTGATGACTAAAACAGCTCTGCTAATACCACACTAGCTTGTAAGGCAGTCAATATCTAGTGCAATAAGAACCCAGAGCAAGCAAAATAATCTGGCAGGGAGGGTGTTAAAGTTACATTCTAATTACATATTTTTTTCAGAAAGATAAGATACGGGTAAAATAAAAGTAAGCTGAGAAAAAGGAAGGGAGCAAGCTGGACAGAAAGGGAAACTGAAGAAGAGGACACGAGAAAAGACAAGTGATGAAAGGGAAGACCCTGAGGTGGCAAACTGGGAAGGCTCACCGTCCGCCTCCCTGGGTGCTGACCACTACTTTGGCCTCTGGTCCAGGCAGGGCTGAAATCACAGACCAGGGAGTGTTCCCTTTCCACCCTTTGGCTAAGCCTGGCCGCTCCCTGGGTGCCTGCTGTTTTGCTCAGGGAAGGACTGGACTAGCTCAGGAAGGAGGCTGCTGTGGGGGTTGGGCTGGTGACAACCAGGCAGTGGGGGAGCCCGCCAGGCAGCCAGAGTCCAAGTGAGTTCCCAGCTGGAAATAGGCAGGTGTTAGGACACTTTCTTTTCAGTTGTCATCTTATTTTTTTAGACTTTCAGCCTAATAAAACCTTATCACAGAAAAGCATTAATGGACGCTCAGTCATTGGCCCTCATTCTATTTTATGGCTTTAGCAGAAGTTACTTTCAGAGCAGTAATGACATCTTTGGTTCTTGATTTCTAGTTCCTGGGCACAACAGGTGTGAGTTTCTCTGCTGAAGTCTTTCCTGTCTTTATCTGATAAAGGCTGTATTTCCTGACCGGACTCCAGTTCCGTTTCCATCTGCAGTGCAGACTATGGGCTATGATGTCAGCCTCTAAGTATGTGTGTGGGAGGAAGAGATTGGCTTCTGGTCATTGCTTTGACTCCCTCCCTCATCACTGTTTCTGCCTTTGTCCAGATGTGCCTGGGACGTAGAAACAACAAACTAACAAGTAAAATGTCTGAGGGTAGAAACTTTTACGATTTGCTTAGTAACTGATCATAAGATTAGGTTTTAAATGTTTGCTTATTTAAAGTATGAAATATTTGAATTCTGAGAGATACTTAACTTTACTCATTTAATTTGTAAATTAGGTCCAGTAATGCAGTGTTTCCAAATTCTACTGTTCATAAGAAATTTGAGGTGGAACTTTCTTGTTACAAATTTCCTTGCTTAGTTAATCTTACTGATTTAAACTGTAATTTTATATTCTATTAACATTTACTTCATAGACACTAATATAATATTACAGAGAGAATTTTAAAAGTATAAGAGTTGAGAAATGTACCTGATACATTTTCTATGTTAACATTAGATGAAAGCCTACATAACATCTAATTTAATGTTTTTCTTTTTTTTTTTGATTTTATTTTATTTTTCATTCTAATTTAATGTTTTTCAAACATTAAAACATTCATGCCTCATTAGTAGGCCATGAAATTAACTTAGGTTACTACCTACATTTGTTAAAAGTATGGAATAGAATAGAAAGTATCAGAGTTTGTCATACTGAGTTAGGTATTAGTTCACCAAACCTGTTTGCTATATCTATTGTGTGTGTGTGTGATTGATGTAAATGTATTTTTATGGTGTGTCAGAAAGTTCAAAACACCAATCTAGTTCGGTTACCTGATTTTTTAAATGAGGGAAATTGAAATCAAGAATTGAATTTATCCTCCCAAGAATACACAGCTAGTTGGTTTAGAAGCCAAAACCTAACAATCCAGTCCCAACATCCAATCTGTTTGTTTTGCCATGTCTAGGTTAGCTCTTGGAAATGCCCTACATGAACTGCCCATTGTGTGGCTGGTAACATTCAATTCACAGCTCTGGTAAAACTGTGGTAGACTTTCCTATTTTCTTAAAAGAGAAGTGCTTTCTAACCACCTAGAGAAATGACAGGAAGTATCAGAACCACATCAACATAGGGTTAAAAGTGTGCTGTGCCCTGGTGAGATTTCTCAGTCTCCTTATTCCCAATTAAGAGTGCCTGCCCCCACCCCCACCTCTGCCCCAGTGTGTGTTTAGTGCTGTTTCTCATCAGTCATCTTGGAATATCCCTAGAGGTACCTAAGAGTTAGAGGTCAGAAATGTTATTCAGCCCTGGCCAGTGTGATTTAGTTGGTTCGGCGTCCTCCTATCACTGAAAAGTTGCTGGTTGGATTCCTGGTCAGGGCACATCTCTCAGTTGTGTGCTAGATCCCAGGTAGGGGGTGCGCTGGAAACAGCCAATGGTTCACTCTCACATCAATGTTTCTACACCCCCTCTCCCTTCCTCTCTCTCTAAAAATATATTTTTAAAAAAGAAATGATAACCAGAAGGGCAAAAGAATATTTCTTTAGAAGAAATGAATAGAGTTCTGTTTCTATTTTATGGTACTACTAGTGCCCCGGTGCATGGCGTGCACATTGAAAGGAAATTAATTAGAAGGTGGCAGGCCAGGTGGGACTGGGCAAGAAGGGCCAGACACACCCTGGAGCCAACCTCCCGCAGTCTCTCCCCAGCCAGCTGCACCTGGGGTGGAACCGCGGCTTGAAGGTTGTCTGTGGCGTGAGTGGGGTCCCTCCTGCAGGTAGGTCCCTTGACCTGGCTTGTGGGATCGGGCTGAAACCAGCTCTCTGACATCCCCTGAGGGGGATTGCGAGAGGGCCATTCTTGGGTCCCCGGTTGCCAGAGGGCCATTCTTGGGTGATACAACCTGGAATCGGGCTCTTTCCTCTCTGGTTCTGGGTGCGTCACCTGAGAACCGCATCTGCCAAGTCATCGCAGCTTGGCAGCTCCTGCATTGAGTGACTGCTCCCTAGTGGTCAGTGCACACCATAGCTACCGATAGGAGCATCTGCTCCCTGGTGGTCATTGCGCATCATAGGTACTGGTCAGATGGTCGAACAGTCA